CGCCCGCGGGGGGACAGGGCGCACCACTTGGGGTGGGTGGCACGCAGAGTGGGAAGCACCCGACCGGTGCGCAGTCAGGCCGTAGCCGCCGGGAAGCGGATGGGAGGATGGCGCCTTGCCTGGGGTGGATGCCGCGCCAGAGGTAGGAAAGGGCGCGTCGCGTGGGGTGGATGACGCGCCCGTGAGAACGCACCTAACTGGTGCACAGATATGTTGAAAAGAAGGTGGGGCACGCCTACAGCAACCAGGCGCACCATCTGGGGTGGATGGCGCGTCTGGGGGAGGGAAAGCAGCGCGCCACCCGGGGTTGGGGGTGCACCGAGCGGGACGCACTTAACAGGTGCACAGACAAGTGGGTCATAGACGCGGGGCACCTCCTAGGGTGGAAGGCGCCTCATTGCAGTCGCAGTCCAGGTAGGTCGGTGACACGCAACGTGGATTGGTCCCCCGTGGGCCAGGATGCCTCGCTAGGGCGCTTGCCTCCTTGGCCCTTCCTTCAGGCTGCCTGGCTCTGGCGGTGCTGCTGCTGCTGCTGCTGCTGCCAGACCGTTCCAGTCGACTTCCCGGTTGCGGTGGTGGCAGAGGGCGCGGATGTCGTATTGAACTTCGGCCAGGTCTTCCAGGAATCAAGGGAGGAAAGACCGCCCGGACCCGATTACTGGCGTTTACGAAACGGCCTTGGGCGTTTACTAAACAGCCTTGCCTTGCTCGATTCCCTTTTTGGGCGCGTTTACTAAACTGCTTCGCGTGTCGGGTTGATTGATTATTCAGAGGGTGGATTTTTCTGTCCTCTGAGAAAAGCGCGGCTGAAGTCGTCGTGGCCGCGGAGATGGTGTGCCCCTTTCCCCGGGCATCTCCCATCTCTCCGGTCGCAGGCCCTGCTCCAGCCCTCGGCAGAGAGGGCGCCGCAAGCAGCTCTCGGGCGGGTTGTGGCTTCAGGCCAGGTCTCGACTCTACCGTCCCCTTCTCTTTACTGCGGTGTCCACGGGATGTTGCGCCTGGTTGCTTTATGCATACGAGCCTGCGGGTCCTCCCTTTCTCTCCGTGCGTGCCAACGTCACGCAAAGATATGGCCCCCCAGGTTTACAGGGGGGCTGAGCCCCGGTGCTGCCCGGAAACGGGCCTGATCCAGGGGGGCGTATCTTCGACGCAATTTACGGCCGCTGACAAGATTATCCCCACCCTCCGAGCTAGGGGCGTGCTCTTCAGGCTTCTCGCCGGGCGAGGACGGGGGCGGCGTGCCAGGCTTGTTCGCATAATCGTTCCTGTCTGGTGTGGCAGTGCCGCTGCGTTTGGCCTCGACTCCTTCGGATTCTGGGCTGGGTTGGGCGGCCTGCTCCGTCTGCCTGGGTGCCGCTGGGGCCTGGCTGTTGGCTTTTTGGGGCGGTTCGTCCTGTGGCTGGACCGTCCTGCCATGGTTGGGCGCCTTCGCTGGCTGGTCTGGGGCATCGGTCCCTTGGGCTGCTGGGCTGCGGGTGCGGCCTGCGACGGTGCCTTGGTCGTCCGCGGCCGCGCCAGGTGCTGCGGCCGAGCCCGTGGCTGGGCTGGGGCGCGTCCCGTCAGGCCTACGGTAATAGGTCAGCTTGGCAGCGCCCGTATGGCGTAGGTCTTGGCTCGCCAGGAAGGCAGCCAGGGTGGCCGCGTCGTGCCGTCGCGGGTCCGTGCCCCTAGAAACAGCTTTGGCCCCAGGCTGGTGGCAGGTTGTCTTCCCCACCTCCAGCCCTATCTCTGCCCCGGGTCGTGATTCCCCAGGCAGCGACGTCGGCCAGGGCAGCACGCACGCCGTCCCAGGGGTGCTTCGCAGGTGGGCGCCGCACGTCCGAAGATCGCGGTCAGGGAGGTGGAGACGCTCCTCGCGGGTCCAGCACATCGCCTCTGTCGTCCGTGCGCCGCATCTCTCTGTGTCTCCAGTGCGGCGTTCTGGGGCAAACTCTCACCGTGCCTCGTCGATATCGTGGTGCAGCCGCCGAACATGGTCAATCATGAGATGGGCGATGTCCTTGTCGTGGCGGTTAGGCCGCGGAGCGGGCCGGGTCGTCCCAGCTGGTGCCAGCGAGGCTATCGCTCGGTTTAAGAGCTGCTGAAAGCGGAAGCGGCTCGTTGTTCACGCGCGCCCGCCCGCATATGCACACGCGCGCACACGCGCAATCACAAACACAACACATAAGCACACACACAAACACAAACACAAGCACAACACAAACACAAACACAAGCACAAGCACAGACACAAACACAACCACGATCACAAACAGAAGCACGAATACAATCACAAACGCAATCACAAGCGCACACACAACCACACACAAACACGAACACAAGCACAACACAACACAGCCACACAATCACAAACAGTAACATAATCACAAACGCATTCAGACACACAATGAGTATCACACACAAGCACAAACACAAATACACTACAAACACAAGCACAAACACAAACACAATAACAAACACAAATACATACCCAGCCACACACATTAACACACAAGCACACACAAACACAATCACAAGTACAAACACAAGCACACACAATCACAAGCACAAGCACAAACACAAGCATACGTCAAATCATAACAACAAACACACAAACACAAGCACACACACAAGCACACGCACAAGCTCAAACACAAGCACAACACACAAGCACGAGCATAAGCACAATCATAATCGCAAACGTAAACACAACCATAAGAAAAAGCAGAAGCGCACACACAAACACATACACAAACACAACCACAAACACAAGCTCAAGCGCAAACACACATACAAATACACACAAACACAACACAAACACACATGTCGTGGCCCCATGTGTGGGCTCCACCGAAGGCCCCAGTGGCTGCGTTCGCATGGGAGCCCCCCGTCCGATTCGCCACGCCCCTCGCACGTTCTGTGGCCTCGTACAGAGCTCCGCCGAAGGTCCCGCTGGCAGGGTCCGCATGCGGGCGTCGCATCGATTTCGGTGCACCCTTCACGCGTTTCGCGTCCCTATACGGAGCTCCACTGAGCGCCCCAGTGTCTGCGTTCGCATGACAGCTCCGCGCCCGTTTCGGTACACCCCTCACACATTTCGTGGCCCTATGACGGGCTACACCGAAGAGAATACTTTCCACCTCGTGATTCACCACTGCCTATGGTTGGTTGGGTTTTCGCCAGGCTATTTTATCTTTCGAGCTGGGCGTTTTCGCAAGGTTTCGGGCCCCGGGACCATCACATATCGATCGAGATTGCAACATGGCGCAGGAAGATTGGGTCTAGTCTAGGTTTCTCGTCGAGATTTTCGACGTTCCATTTTTTCGCAACGTCGGATCTCAAGAGAGGGGGGGCGCGATTCAGGACGGGAACGGAGGGTTAGGATGCAGCTCTTTGGAGGATGAACTCAGCACCGTCGCTGGTATACCTGTTGCCGAAAATAGGCGCAATCTGGCATCAGATGGTTTTATTTGGCTCAATCCCGGTTGATCCGATTTGTTTTTGGGCTTAATCTTGCCGAACAGCAGTTCGGCTTAATGGCTCCTCATCGGCCTTTGTAGCCCTCCATCGTTCTTGCGAAGACCCCGAGGACTTACTTCCTAAGGAGCGCAGAGCAAGAGACAATGGGGTGGGGAGAGGTGCGACGAAGGAAGGGGGACGAATGCATCTAGGCCTCCAAGATGGGGTCCGAGAAGATGGGGTCGGTGGATCGCGCCGCACCGTCGATGCATGGGCGATGCGGCTCGATGTGGAACCCGTGTTGCCCCATGCCGACGTCGCCGATGCATCGCCGATGCATCGACGATGCATTTGCGATGCGGTGCAATCCTACGACCCCGTCTACTCGGACCCCATCTATGAGGCCTCTAAGAATGGGGGACGAAGAACGGGGGGCGAAAAAGAGCGGGGCTGCGCCAGAAGGGGGACGGAGGAAGGCGGGATCTGTGAGATCCCTGGAGCGGCGTGACAGGTGGGGTGGAGGCGGAGGACGCGGATAGGAGGAGGAGGAGGAGGAGGAGGAGGAGGAGGAGGAGGAGGAGGAGGAGGAGGAGGAGGAGGAGGAGGTCCGTAGCCACTGGCTCATGCCTGGTGCCAGGCGCCATTGCCCTTGGCTCGGCGGGCGTTGGGCGCAGGGCATGGATGGGGACGGGAAGGGTCCGCGACTGTATCCCGCGGACACGATGGGAAAGGACTGCTGCCGCGCGGCGCTCACGCGAGGCTGCGGAGACTCCGAGAAGGCCCGAGGTCTCGAGGAGCGGCTCGCCATGGCGGAGTCGGCCCTCGACGCCTTCGCTGGAGATGCCAACATGTCGGACTGGTTGCTCGCCCTGCTCCCTGCGCTGAGAGGGCCGGCCTCTGGCCAGGAGCCCTCCTGGCTCGACCGGCCACGGCGCAACGTCGCACGACACGCTGCTGCTCTGGACCTGGAGGGGAAGATCTCGTTTGCGAGCGTAGCACAGCTCCGGTCTGCTCAACATGGCCCGAGACTTGGAGAGGAGCGTGGCGTGCCTGTCGAGCAGCGCCCTGGCCCGACCTTGCCGCCCATGCCGACGGAGGATGCGCTCTTGGCGGTGGACCTCGAGCCGAACCTGGCGGAGGCTGCGGCTGCGCGACGCCCTGCCCATGGCGGCCCTCATGCAGCTGGAGGTGGCCTTGGTGCGTTCGTGGAGAGCGCCTACATGGGGCTATGCGAGGAGCAGGTAGACGACGGTACGGTGGCAGCGTCTCGCGGCCTCGTCGTGATGCTGCCGAGTTCCTGGAGCAGGTCGCTGATTTCCGCTCAGGGAGTGTCCAGCCCCCACAGGCTTCCGATGCACATTCGGTTCGCTGGCTTTCTCCTCCGTGCCCATCTCTGCGACCTGCTTCGTGAAGTACCCGGTGCGGAAGGCTCAGAAGCTGGAGGAGCAGCCTGCCGTCGGGGCGCCAGCGCCCGATGCTGCAGGCAGTGACTCAATTCGGGCCCCTGCGGGGGATGACTGCCCTAATGCTGAGGCAACCGCTGCCGTGCGGGACGTTGTGTGCATGTACATAGGCGAGCGCATCGCGGAGCGGGAGCAGTGGGCGGCCTCGACTACCCGTCCTTTCGTTCGGCGGCGGCTGGCGCGGCCCCACAAGGATGGCAGTGCTGGCAAAGACCTCCAAGTGCCAGCGCCCGTCGGTGAGAGCGGCGGAGTGCGCAGGCGCTGCGCGGAGGGACGCGAGCTGACCAGGGACGCGAGCGAGTGCGGGTATCCGATGAGCTGTCTGGGTTGTGGCTGCGTGATGCCAGACGACGTATACATGTTTCTCTGTGCGTCGGAAGATTGCGATGATTGCTTCTGTGTGAAATGCGCGCATTTCAGGTTTCAGCATCGATGAGCCGTGCTAGAGCATGCTCTTTGGTGCGCGGCCCATTTACATCTCACCCTACCCTCCTGGTGCTCCTGCTTGTGTCTTTCCTCTTCTTTCTGTGTGAGGCGATGGAGTTGAGGTCTGCGTGTGGGCAGCGGGAGGCCGTTGCTCTGTCTTGTGAAGTTCGCCAGTCGCGCGCTGTATCTGGTCGGCATGGGAAATGAGGGATGACGATGGGGGGGGAGGAGAAGGTGGAAGGTGGAAGGTGGGGTGTGGGAGGTGGAAGGAGGAGGTGGGAGGAGAATGAGGAGGAGGAAGAGAAGGAGGAGTAGTAGTAGGAGGAGGATGCGGATGATGCTGATGATGGTTATGATGATGATGGTGATGATGATGATGGTGATGAGGATGCTGCTGCTGCTGCTGCTGCTGCTGATGATGATGATGATGATGATGATGATGATGATGATGATGATGATGATGATGATGATGACGATGATGATGAGGGGGGCGTAGATGATGATGAGGGGGAAAAGGAGGAGGAGGAGGATGAGGAGGAGGAGGAGTTGGAGGAGGAGGAGGAAGAGGAGGAGGAGGATGAGGAGGAGGAGGAAGAGGAGGAAGAGGACGTGGAGGAGGCGGAGAAGGTGGAGGAAGGCGACGAGGAGGACGGATGGAACAACGATGAGGAGGCGGAGGCGGAGGCCGACGACGGTCAAATTTTGTTTTGTGTGTCTGTGCCAGTTTGTCTCGATCATTCTGGACGGGTACTGCTGCTGCGCACTGTGACCATGTTTTTTTTGCGCCGTCCTGATTGTGCAATGTTCCCTGCGGTTCTTTGTATCATCCTTCTTTTGTTCCCTTTCCTCCGCCTCTTCCTCTATTTTCCCCTCCCCCCCCCCCCCCGCGGGTGGGAAGAGGGATGGGGAACGATGAATTGGGGATGGCAGGGAAGAGGACGACGATATCGATGGCGAGGATGAAGGCGAGGAGAAACAGGATGAGACGGAAGATAATAAGGAGGAGGTGGAGGCGGAGGAGCAGGAGGAAACCCCGCGTGAACTCAACATGCTTCAGCGATGTTGCATTGCGCATCCCCGTTTCAACAATTCCCTTTCTTGTTTTGGTTGCGGATAAATGGCCCCCTGCAAGACGAGCGCCCCACGTGTTCCTGCAACTCAAGCGAGAGTCCTGTTTCGAAACAGTTCTACACTTCCAGTCGTCTGGCCGTCGTTATCTTATTCGTTATTTTGCCGATCGGCGCGGGCCCTCGCACCCCCCTCCCCCCCGTCAGGGGTGGGCCCTGGCTGTTTTTGGCGCCTGTTTCGAGCAGATGTGGAATTTCACCCCCATAGGACGCACTGCTGCAGACAATCGCATTAAGCAGAGGTGCAGAGCCAAACCACCCCTCCCCCCCGTTTCTGCTCAATGTCGAAACGCCGAATAAGAAAACGCTCGCCAACCTGAGAGAGTGTCAGGCGATATTCCCTATTCGAGAGGAGCCGCCCTCCGTTCGAGTAGCCGATGGTCAACTTAAGGTGTTTGCCCATAGCAAGGATTCTGGGTTTCTGCTCATAAGGGTTGAGGAGGTCTCAAGCGACAGTTCAGCTTTGAAAGTGAGCAGCTTTCCATCTGTCAAATTGTTGGATCGTCTTCTTAAGCCGAGTTGGCGCGGCGCTACGGAGAGAGCCACATTTCGACAAGGAATTGTCCTCCATCTGCGTAACCGTTGGACGGTTTTCTGATGATCGTTCGCGTCGGTGAGGGGTATCTACATGGCTAAAGGGGACCACCATCCATCAGTGTGTAGCGTGTAGCTGTTCGAAACATTTTTCAAGCGAAGTCGTGGCGCTACGGCGAGCTCCAGGATCGTAAGTTGTAAGGAAGCCTCAAGTGAAACGCACGGGCCGTTGTACGGACATGTTTGGTGGTGCGACAGGGGGGAGTTAACCATAGTGGAGAAGGAGGGTGGGAAGCGGAGAAGGGGGATGATGATGATGATGCAGAAGAAAAGATGATGACGGTGGTGGTGGTGATGGTGGTCGTGGTGATGGTGGTGTTGGTTTTGGGGGTGATGACGCTGATGATGATGATGATGATGGTGGTGATGGTGGAGGTGGTGGTGATGTTGTTGATGGTGGTGATGATGCTGCTGCTGTTGATGATAAAGCCTGCGATGGTGGTGGTGGAGGTG